GGGGAGGCTTAGAACCGGCTCAAATCTCCTACTTATACGTATATTTTCACTTTAAATTCAACAAACACTTCAACAAAAACTTCAACTATTATTCGAATGTCTATCACCATACTAGATCGCTTCGCGTACCGCACTGTCACTTCAACTCGACTGTCCCAATGAGCGAGTGGATTGCGCTTATATTTGGCAATCGAAGAGGCTGAAACATTTTCCGAAACTACATCGAAGTCGGTGGAATATTCGTCGGAAATTCCATCGGTTAGGTGCAAACAGCCGCGAAATGTCGGTCGAACTGAGCGTGCTCTCCGCCACGTTACAATTGGTTTATGGCTACCAGAGGCGGCCAGCGTTATTTTCTTTAGGGCATGATTTACAACAATATTATTGCAATTTCTACAATTTGTGTTTTGACAATTAATCTCTCTCATGTCAGATATTTTATGTCAAATAATTCTTCTTCTTCATAATTTTTCAGGTTCTTTGTGTGTTTTGATCCGTGACACGTTACATCCTTCACATGTGCTCTTATTTTTCGGTTAATGATTTGGATCAAACAACATATAGAAACAATTCGAGAAGAAAATATTACAACTGATCGCTGCAACTGAACTGTAGCATAGTAATGTCAAATATTGCCTTTTCAGATTTTTATGTACACATTTCCGTACATATGATGAAAATGTGCTATTTTGAGATGTTTCTTCTATTGTCAATCATCGGCATCCAGGAAGGAATAATGAATATAGTCCCGTAAAAAGAATTTTGAAAACATTCAAAGAAACTGGCTCTCTGTTCAATCGTTCAAGAAATCATTTAATTCAATAAGGTACAATTGGGAAGAACAACTCAGTGTTTGTTAGAGCGTTGTTGAAAACGAAAACACCAATATTGGGAGTATTATTGAAAATACAGTGGTCGGCAGCGAAACTGAAGGAAGAATTTTGTACCAAAATAATTTCCATCTTTATAAATAAGCCAAAGTTCGTATTCACTCTTAAAGGAAGATATTCGATATTCCTGTGGAAATTTTATATTGGTTCCAAGTGGGAGAGAATTGATATCAAAGACGAGGCAACTTTCACATTGAACGGAACACTTAGTTCCCAAAATTGTTGCTGGTGTGCCGTGACCGATATTTATTCAAGACAAAGGTGTGATCTTGTTCATTATATAAACAAACAATTGAAACATATTTTTTATAGAAACTTCCAATCCAGGTATGTACAGCTTGAGAGGGCATCGATCTATCAACCGGTAGAAGAGAAAATAAGTCCATAAACTGAAAATCCGAATCCGTTTCAAATTGAAATGAAAAAACTAGATGAACTCAGCAACAACAAAGACGAATTTCTAGAGGTGCAAATCTTTTCTGATAACAATATACTCGTAGGTATATTCTGGGCAAGATATGATATAGAAGTCTTATGTTAACCAAAGTTATGAAATGTGAATCATAATTTATTAGAATCGATAATGCTATTGTTTGAATAATATAGATGAATCTGTATCCGCTTCAAAAGGGTTCTGAATTTGAACAATATAAAAAAACGAAACATTCTTAATAATAATTTATCTGAGGATTTCGGTTCCAAGTATTCACTGATGCATAATTGCAGCAGTGAACAGATGTTCTTGAACTATGTATTAACTTATTCTAATCCAAAATTGAAATGATAAAATTTACATGAATTCAGAAATACTGACAGTTTCTACGAGAAATTATTTCCGGAAAATAAATCCGGAAGTCCTTCTTTCAGATAGTTTTGAGCTAGCTTGCAATCTCATTTATCCTTTCGATGAGTGACATGATCTGTAAGATATTGGCCTGTTAAGTAGATAATGAGCTCATAATATCGTAATGAATATTCTTCTAGATAACGTTATCATGATATCAACTGTCATGTTATCAATTAATGTCTCAATATCATATGAATCGGCCATGGCACTAATTAGTGACATGAAACATTATAATAATGCATTTTTGTTGGAAAATGATAAAAAATGTATGATTTTCGATTGGAAAGTACAAATTAATGACCTTGATCTCTGTTTTTATTAACACGGCAGTGGCAGTGAATGAATCATTTCCAATACCATCATCAGTCATAAATAATAATTTGAGTATTTACTTCCAGACATGATTATGAGTTGTGTGCGCCTGATTTATTTATTGTTTTATTATTTCTTTCACTTATTTCTTTATGTAGCAATTTGGATGATTTCATGTGAATATTCTTCAGTGCACTGAACTTGATAAAGGGTCAAAAATGTGAATTCGAAAGAAATGTGAAACGATAGACAGCATAAATTTTACGAAATTCAAGGGAAGTTTCATGTTGGTAACTTTTTGGATTATTTCACTTTGAAGACTTTTTTATTCATGAAATACATCTTGAACCAACTATAAAGGGAACTCATGACAATATGAATAATTTGAAATGAAGATTCGAATGGAATATTAGAAATGTGGAATTAGATTATAAAAATTCAGTTATATGAGTTTTTCAAATTATTTTTTATTTCAGAGAGCTTACGAGAATACTTCAGTAAATACGGGGACATAACAGAAGTAATGGTGATGAAAGATCCAGCAACGAGGCGGTCTAGGTGAGTGAATTCGAAAAAAAAACATCTTTAACAAATTATACTGAACCCATGAAGATCACTTCAACTTGTATAGGACTCAATCGAATTCAATTTGATTCTTGATCCCGCTAAATTCATTTACTTAATACTGTTTGTTCCGTTTATTCACAGTTGAAGGGAACTTTCAAAAAGTTCAGTTCGTTTGTCTTCTCAATTACTTTTTGCACTCTTTTCCCAAATTCTTTGACGTATTAGCCAGTTGATTGATTTGAATGAAAGAAGTTGAAGAAATTATGTCGATTTTTCTGTGCAATTTTTTAAATTTACGTTTTCTGGGCAATAATAAAATGCTGTTGCGGATGAGATATAAATATAGGGCATTATTCAAAGGATCTTTTGTAGGCGAATTCGTCCTAAAACTTTCTAGAAATTATTCCTGTGATACCATTGAAAGCATTATGTGCAAATTCAGTTTTGTACATGAATTATCCGCTCGATATGAGACGTTTTCAGAATTTGGGTGAAAAACAAATGAATGATAATGAAGATCCGATACTTGTTCAAACGAAATTAAAATTGCCTTTCGGGAAGTAATCATCATTTCAGGTTTCGTGCCCAACTGCTTTCAGTTAAAAAAAAATTTAGTACATCCTTGCAGCTACTTCAATTATTATTCAATTTTTCCAACTTAGTGGTGTTATCAGGCGGTTTCAGAAGATTCTTACAAAAATTCTAACCGTTAAATGATTTCTAAGAGTATTTCGAACGTATAATTTTCAAAGTTTTGAATACATCTTTGCTTCATTTTTTTCATTGATAAAGAATATAAAGTTGCTCTGTTAACTACTAGTATCTCATTGTACCCAGTCTTATACAGATTTATCCAAAATGTCATAAATATATCAAAATTACAATGACTAACAGCGATTTTTAAAAAATCCACTTTTGAATTGGATCAAGATTCACCAAATAACAATCTTAACTCCTCCCCATCCAATTATCCCGTATGACAATTGAGACTGAACAAATGCAGAATAAAGGGTTTTCAAATGTTTCATGTCTAGGAAGTTTCTGAGATATTGGAATTCTTTTATGTGTAAGTCCCAAAGAAGGTGTCTATGAATTGTTACCCCTAGATATCTAATTGAGTCACTTTCAGTTATATAGTAATTATTGTTGATATTGAGTTGTCCAATATCAGGCAATTTACTGGAGTATAACTTAAATGTTAAGTTTTTCGTTTTATCGAAGTTAATTGTGAGTTTGTTCTGTCGAAACCAACTTTCGATTGCTAGAAAATCTCCTTCTGCACATAACTTGAGTTGTTCCCACGTAGATCCTGTGTATAAGATGGCAGTGTCGTTCGCAAAGCTCAATCCCTTACCTCTTGTATCAAGAAGGAGCAGTTCATTCAAGTAAATTGTCAAAAGAACGGGGCATAACACAGTTCCTTGAGGTATCCCAAAGCTCACAGTCTCCGGGTTACTCATTGTATCACCTATCCTGACCCTCTGTTCACAATCATTCAAATAACATTTGAAGAGTTCATACGCCTTTCCGCGAATACCAATGTTTTTCAGTTTTTCAGAAAGTTTAGGGTGACTCACTTTATCAAAGGCTTTAGAGAGATCGATAAAAATGCACACTGTTGGAATCTTTTTGTCTAAAGAATCGTAAATTTGTGATGTAAGTTTATATATTGCAACTTCTGTCGATCTTTCGTGCGTAAATCCATATTGTTCATCAGCGATCAGTTTATATTTATTTGTAAATTTCATAAGACGCCTCTTGATACTTTTTTCAATTATTATTACTATATTCGAAATCTTGGTCTGTAATTAGTCATATCTATTTTATTCCCTTTTTTGTACAATGGTTTGATTATTCCCGTTTTGAATACTTTAGGAAAACAACCATTTTCAAAATATTTATTGATGAGAATGGTCAATGGAAATCATTTTCAAACGTATTCTAAAAACACTTTATTGTGTGATTTTCACTAGATAGTTTTACAAAAACGCAACACGTGTTTCGCCATACAATGGCTTCCTCGGGCGCCCGAGGAAGCCATTGTATGGCGAAACACATGTTGCGTTTTTGTAAAACTATCCACTGAAAACCACACAATGAAGTGTTTTTAGAATACGTTAGTTATGGATTTTCATCAAGTATCGGCCGATTCCATCATATATCATTTTCAAAGTTTCCGAGCGAATTCCGTCATGCCCTGGTGAATTTGTGATTTCAGTTCCGTCATGTACTTCATTTGAATCAGTTTCATAAAGATACAAAGAATTTCCCAACCTTTGTTTTGGAATATTGTAGTTTTTTGGTTCAATAACCCTGTTCGCATATATTTCTACAAGTGAGGCATATTATTTGTTGAATGAGTTACATATATCAGTTACATCATCAGTTACTGTTCCATTTTTGAGTCTTATTTTTGGGATTTGTGTTTCAGGTTTTGATTTATTGCATATTTCATCTACAAATTCTTTGGAATTATTATCATTTTTCTCTATAGTTTTTTTGTGTACTCTTTTTTTGCAATTGTTATTGATTTACACAATTTATTTGTGAGTGTGGAGTATTGTTGTTTCATTTTCTGGATATTTCAACAAGTTTTGATATTTTTCATTTTTTTCGTTTATCATTTGGACTAGTTTGGGGCTAATCCACTTTTTATTTCCCCTTTTTTGTTTCTTGTTCCTAACAGTAACAGTATTTTTTTCTATCAGATACTTCAATGTATTGGTGAAGATATGAGCCATTTCTTCTGAGTTTTCTGATTCATAGACAGCATTCCATGTTATGCTATAATTCAAGTCGGTTTTAAGTTTTTCATAGTTGATATATTTTCTGTTATTCACATTATTTTGGCATCTCTTTCTTCCTAAATCAAGATAAACACCGACTGCATAATGGTCCGTATACTTATTTTGAAAATATATCATAGTGAGTTCACTTCCTTTCTTATTTTTATAAAAATATGGTCCAAACGTGTTCCACTACTAGGTCGTGGAATTTCATCAATATATGAGAGAAAGTCTTCGGTACTGAGGATATTATTATATTCTTCAACAATTTTCCAATCTGATAATAGGTTGAGGTTTATATCTCCAATAATCATTTGTATGTCTGCACTGATTGAAAGCTGAAGATACTCAGCTAAGTCTAAGTTGAATTTTTTTGGGCCAGGTACTTGTGGCTCTGTATATGGCGCTTAATGCAATTTAATGTTTTTCCATCGAGACAATTACTCGTAAAATTTTGATGTCACCAATATTTTTAATATTATCTGTGCAATCAAGTTCTTCTTTAGCTTATACTATAACTCTATCATTCTTGTTGAGATTGCCTTTATTATAAAATCATTTACTATATACGTTTCAGGTAAAATAATGATGTACAATTTTTCACTGAAGTTACTCAAGAATATCAATAGTTCATCTTTATTTTTAATAACACTACGGATATTCAAATGGATACAGTTGAGTCTATTTTTTTCTTTGAATTTGAATTAATTCACATTTTCAATAATTTGTGCAATTATCGAATCATTTTTGTATCCTTTTATATAAGGATCCATAATGTATATAAATTATATGATATTACAGTATACTTATTACTACCCGACTAATTACACAACACAACAAAAAAATATTTTTTGAATGTTTCCTACACTAAATTAGTCAATTTCTACTAATTTTGGGGTGATAAAAACGAAAATAACAATGAAAAATTTTTATTAGCTCTGGTTTTTGAGATACACAGTACTTAATCTTAAAGAGTAGTTATACTATACGTGAAAAGTGAAAGTACATAAAACAATATTGTTATGTTTCTTTTAGAA